CCTCTGCAAACTTTCATAAACTCTAGCTGAAGAGAAATTCCCAGATTCACTCCTCATTGTGTTAGGAGATTTCAGCAGTGCTAACTTAAGCCAAGAACTACCAAGATACTTTCAGCATGTCAAATATCTTATTAGAGGCAAGAATACTTTAGACCACTGCTACACAACATTAAAAGATGCTTATCGGTCTTTACCATGAGCATCGGTGGGACACTCTGATCATTGTATGATTCATCTTGCACCTGCTTATAAACAAAGGCTTAAAACCATAAAACCAACAATTTAATCAATGAAGTCTTGGACTGAGGAGCCAGAGTTAAAGCTACAGGCTTGCCTTGATTGCACAGATTGCAACGTTTTACAACATACCTCTGTAGACTTGGATGGACTCACAGATACTGTAACATCATATGTTAGTTTTTCTGACAACCTATGTGTGCTGACCAGAAACCTGTAAATATATAGTAACAACAGACTTTGGTTCACAGCTGAACTCAAGCAGGTACATCGTGCCAAAGAGGAAGCCTACAGGAAAGGAGATAGAATGCTGTACAATCAGGCCACAAATGTATTAACAAGGGAGACCAGAGTAGCAAAAAGAAACTGCAAGCTGAAAAGCAGAGGAATCAGCCCTTAACAAATGAACCAGCAAATGTGTCGAAAACTCTTAAAAATATCACTGGTTCCATGCTGAAGGGAATCAACAACTGATAAATGATCTGAATGTGTTTTACTGTAGGTTAGAGAGGAAATCACTGTCACCTATCACCATCATCTCCTTCTCAGATACACCAACAACAGCCAAGCCTCCTACAATTGACTCCATCCCTTTGAACCCCCTACCTCTGGTGATCACAGAAAATGATGTGCAAGGTCTATTTCACAGACAAAAGCCTGAAAAAGCACTAGGTCCAAAGTAACTCCTTCTTGCTTGAAATTTTGTGCTGACCAATTGGCTCCCATCTTCACCCTTATCTAGAGATGTGTTATGTTCCTTCTTGCTTCAAACACTCTACTGTCATCCCAGTGCTGAAGAAACCCCCCATCAAGGAGCTAATGACTACAGGCCGGTTGCTCTGACATCCATAGTTATGAAAACCTTTCAAAGATTACTGCTGGCCCACCTGAAAACCATCATGGATTCTCTATTAAGATCCCTTGCAATTTGCCTACTGAGCAAATAGATCAGCAGATTATGCTGTTAGTACGGCATCCTACAACTACATCCTACAACATCTTGAATCTCCAAGGACTTATGCAAGGGTTCTTTTTGCAGACTTTAGCTCGGCATTCAATACCATCATTCCAGATATTCTAGTAACTGAACTGATTCAGCTTGTATGTGAAACACAAGCTTTCTAACAGACAGAAAGCAGCAGATGCGGCTTGCAAGGCACATGCAGCTCTTTCATCCCTCTGCTGTGACTCCCTGTCAGGTGAGCCCACCAGCGTCATCACGGCAGGAAAGGTTTGTCTGCTGCCTGCTTCGCTCTCTGCCCTGCCACCTCCTAGCTGGAGAGCTACATTTGCTTGCTTGCTGGCCACCTCCGAGGAGGGAGCTGCACTCAGGCTGCTTGGGTCCCTGCTGTGGGAGCGGGGAGAGGGAGTGGGAAGGGGGTGTGTGTCTCCCCAACAGGATCCAGGTTGAAGTTGCCTTATTTTCCATGGTTCTCCACTCCCCCACCACAGCCCAAGTGGTTTGATTCACACAACACATGAAGCTGGGCAGGAGAGGACGGAGAGATGGATGGGAGGATGGTTGGAGGGATAGATAGGTAGATGGATGCAGGGATGGATAGATAGATGGAGGGAGGGAGGGATAGATAAATAGAGGGGAGGAGGAATGCAGAGATGGATGCACAGATGGAGGGATGGATGGCGGGATAGATGGAGGGATAGATGGGATAGATGAAGAAATAGAGAGGTAGAGGGAGGGATTGATAGAGGGATAGATATTTGGAGGGATGGATGGATGGGGGATGCAGGGATGGAGGGATAGATGGAGGGATAGATGGGGGATAGATGGATGGATTCAGGTATGCAGGGATGGATGGAGGGATAGATATAGATTAATAGGAGGGGAGGGGGATGGAAGGATAGATGAGGGAGGGAGGGATGATGGATAGATAGATGGAAGGATAGATGGGACAGAGAGAGAGAGAAAGATAGAGGAAGTAAGAGAGATGGAGACAGAGAGCAGAGAAGAGAAAACTGGGAACCACAAAACCTGGGTAGGCATGGCTGGGGGGTGGAATGAGTGGGAGTGACGTCAGGTTGGCTACACCCACTCAGGTTTTCTTTTCTGTGGGAAACTGTCCAAATGGCTCTTTTGAGTGTTTAAGGTTGCAGACCCCTGAGCTAGGCAAAATCATATCAGATACCTGTACAATTAGCACAGGGGCCTCCCAGGGCTGTGTCCTCTCCCCACTTCTCTCTATATACAAACTGCATCTCAAAGGATCCCTCTGTTAAAGTACTGAAGTTTTCAGATAATACAACAGTGATTGGTCTCTTGTAAGACAACGACGAATTGGCATACAGACAGGAAGTTGAACAACTAACCTTGTGGTGCAGAACAATCTTGAACTAAATACACTCAAAGCCATAGAAGTGGTGGTAGATTTTAGAAGTTCTCCTATTCTACCACTCTTACAAGACTAGACAACGTAGTATCAACAGTAGTGACCTTCAAGTTTCTAGGTTCTATACTATCTCAAGACTTAAAATGGACACCTAACATAAAAAATATCATCAGAAAAGCGCAATAAAGAATGTTCTTCCTGCGCCAACTCGGAAAGCTCAAATTGCCTAAAGAGCTGCTGATACGATTCTACAAAGGAATTATTGAATCTGTCATTTGCACCTCTATAACTGTCTGTTTTGGCACTACAACCAAACAAGACAGACATAGACTTCGGTGGATAGTTAGCACTGCAGAAAAATAATAATTGCTACCAGCCTGTCTTACATTGAGGACCTTTCTTGCACAAGCCAGAAAAAGAGCTGTGAAAATATCTACAGACCTCACACATCCTGGACATAAACTGTTTCAACTTCTTCCCTCAAGTTGCCATAGGGCAGTGTGGCTAGCCTTTTTGGGCTCCTATGCCAAAAATTGCATGCACGTTAGTGTGCCAGCACCCAGAATGCAATGTGCACCCCCCCATGCCCCCTGCGCATGTGTGCACAATCTCCCCATGCCACCACCTCCACCCCCTTACCTGCACTGCACCTCACAATTTATTTTTTGGCTGGTTTGAGGCCTTTTTCAGCCTCCCAGAGGCTTGGAAAAAGCCTCTACAAGGCTTCTCAGGCCGAATAATATGCCTGTTTCACCACTTCCAGTATTACAGGAAGTGATGAAATGAGCCTATTGGGCCTGAAAAGCCTTCAGAGGCTTTTTCCAAGCCTCTGGGAGGCTGAAAAAGGCCTAAAACTTGCAGAAAAATCAGCTGTGAGGCGCATGCATGCACAATGAGGTAAGTTTGCCTGTGGCTTGTGTGCCAGCACAAGTGGTTCTGCGTGACACTTGTGGCATGCATGCCATAGGTTCGCTATCATGGCCATCAGGCATTACATGACAAAACAGTTAGACACAAGGACAAGTTTCCCCCCCCCCCACCCCCCATGCCATCAGTCTGCTAAACAACTGAATTCTCTCAACACTGTCAAACTACCTAGTAGGGCTGTATTACTATTCTTCTTCTCATCTTTCCTATTACGTATTTCCTTATTTTATCATTATCTTACAATTTATATTAATTGTTTTATTTAGTATCCCAGTATGATTTATATTGATTGCTTATTTAGTATCCTATGATTATTCTAAGTATTGTATCTTATGATTTATGATGAATGCATTTTTATTATGATTATGATCATGATATATAACTTGTTGCTTGTACACTGAGAGCTTATGCGCCGGAAACAAATTCCTTGTGTGTCCAATCATACTTGGGCAATAAAGAATTCGGTCAGTAGGGAAGCCTCTGCACGTGTGCAAAGCACGCATGCATGCACAAAGTATGCTCACCAAGCCACACCCACCGAACCGGTGGTAAACCAATTTGAATCCCACCACTGTTTTGAGGGGTGACTTATGGGGATAAAGTGGGTTGCTTGAGAGTTTAGATCCCAGATGTCATTCAGGACAGTAAATAATGGCACACAGTCAGATCTGGATTCTTGATGAATAAAGATCCAGGCATGCTTTGACACAAGACCTGTAGGGGTGAATGAGAGATGTAGTAAGAGTGTTTCTGACAAATTTCATGCTCCCTGAAAACAGTGGGAAGGACATAAGGTCATGCCAAGCAAAGTCCTGTTGGGTCAATTTGTGCTTAACTTCCTTCCAAACACACATCAGTAAATATAGTAGGCACTTCTAAACTGCTGCAATATGTGATGGGTGGGACAGCATAGTTGGTAGATACAGCTGGGGGAGAGCAATCCACCACAATTCTTATATACTAACAAATGAAGGGTTAGAAACACGAATATGTACTGGAGTATGACACTAATATAGAGTAAATATTTAAAACAGAAATGATATGCTATCAATAGGAAGCATATAGTTTATAATCAGAAGATGTAAACAAAGCGTGAATAAAAATGTTGATGTAATTTCTAAAGAGTAGCCTTTTTAATATATATCTTTTGCAATACAATATATCATCTTGTGGGAGATAAAAATTAACATATATTTTGCTAGTTAAATGTCATTAAACTATGATGATTTTATGAGGCATCCTATGGTATTACATTATCATTATTAAGCTGAATTTTTGCATCATTTCTTTATTAGACCTTATCCAGGATTCCAAACAGATATTCTCCCTCAGAATAGCTTTCAACAATTAAAAATCCATTTACAAATATGTACATCTTTTTCTCAACTTATAACAAAAATGATAAAAAGAAGCTTAAAAGAAGTGAAATGGTAGGGGGAAAAGTATTTTGATATTTCCCTTATTGCTCTTGTTTCTTGTCACCTCCTACAGCTGGATTTGGCCATGCATTGATATTTCCTGTTAAATGCTCACTCCTTCCAGTCTGTGTCATGGACTCCATGTTTGAGGATGACATCAGCATCCTTACCCAAGATGCCTTGGCGCAGGATGATGAATGGTTGGACAGTCCGAACACCGACCTCTCCAGTGAGATGTGTTCTGCTTCTCACTTTGCTTTCATCACAGCATATGATGACATCAAAAATCGCTTGACAGGGCTAGAGCGGGAAAATACTAACCTCAAACGGAAGCTAAAGATGTATGAGATCAAGGTGAGTGATAGCTGTTTAAAATAAGGCCAGCCAGAAAAATAGCATATGCCAATTCAGAGGGGGGGAGGGAAATGTTGTTCCTAACATGGGCAAAAATGTAATAATTACCTGTTGCTACAGAACATTGACCACACACAATAGGGACCTAGGGCATCCCTCCTACTTTTTAATGTGTTAGTTCCTGTTATGCTTAGGGCAATCTTCTCCAGCTGCCTATGTTGAGACTGCAGCTTCAGAAATTTCCAGCCAGAATAGTTTTGGGAAATTATATTCTAATACCTCTGGAGGATACAAAGCTAAAGAAGGCTAGAATAGTCTTTAATTAATTTACTATTTTTTTTTACACGTCTTGATCATGCCAAAGCTAGATGGACCAATGTGCTGACTAGGCATCAGCCAATCTGTTTAATTTTTTCCCTGTGAGAAATGTCATATTGTTGCCTATGTTCACATGTTGTAAATCTGTTCAGAAGTTTTTCTTAGTTACACAACACCTCCCTCCTTTTGTTTGATTTTTTATTTTAAATAAAATGAAAGTAACTAAATAAATAGCCTCCTCCTTAAACCATAGCTCTCATTTTGTGGCCCACAGATTACTATCAACTCCAATTAGAAATTTCATGGAAAGACAGTTGAAGCATTGAATATATTTATATTTTACCCAGTATTTGATATTTTTTTAAAATCTACTTTGTCCAGGCCAGATAACTCTTAGAATCATTTTTCTGTTTTTTTTTTAATGGAAGCTAACATTGTAACGCTCTGATATTTAAATATTGCGTGCAGATTTACATGTTATTGCTTCCCATTTTGTACAAATATTAGTGAAATATATGTGTATGTATGTGTGTACATATAGATACATAAACACACAATATTTCCCCCCACACACATACTTTTTTTGGATCTGTCCTGCAGTTCCCATTGATCAGTGACTTTGGAGAAGAACGTATGTTCCCAGTTTATGAATCCAAGGAAACTTCTCTTCTGAAGAGTGAGAAAGCCAACCTCCAGCAGCAGTTGAATCAATTCCAGCGTGAGGTGAGGGGACTGTCTCAGCAACCTTTGAAAAAATGGATGCACTGATCTTTTCGTGGAATTTTTTGTGTCATATGGTGGCTTTTACAACTGCCTCATGAACTGAAATAGGGTTCAAGGCTGAGGCTTTGTTTTGTTTGTTTGATTTTAGTAGTATGTGACTATGACAGCATACAAAATCAATAAGAAAATGACATTCCCAATAGCTGCAGTTGACTGAAGAAGGACTCTCTCTCCATTTTAATTAAGGATACTTTAATGGGGTATATTCATTTGATGTGCAGTTCTCTGTTGTGTTCTGGAATTTTAATCTCTACACATTTGGAAGAAGGGTCCTGTACAGTTTCAATTTCAGAAAGCACAGTGAGTAAGTACTGTAACTAGCAAAGACATAGAAAGAGATAGAGTTTCACATGTCTCAAACCACACCTTCAACTAGGTGAGACCAGTGGTACATCTGGATCTCAGATTCCAGGGTTCTGTTTGTACACCAAGCTCTCAAATGACAACAATCCAAAATTGTGCACATAGAGACACAAGTGTGTACAAATACACACACATACACACACATGGGAGAGGACTATGAATGAAATTCCTTAAGAGAAATTTTATCTCTGTTGTCTTTGCTCCTAGAAATAGATAATTGAGTAACTGAAATACTAATACTTGTGTTCTCAGTTACAGTAGGGAGCCCATAGGATGCAATGGATAATATGTCAGGTTTAAATTAATGATGCATTTAAATTAGTTATGCACAATATTTTCTGGGTTTTTTTTGGTCCTGAACAGGCATGTACCTAGTAGAATTTTATGAATTTAAAATGAAACTATTTAAGTATTCTATAGGAGTCTTAATTGTTATTTAACTCATCATAACCAAAGTAATACAATGGCAATAGAGATAAGAGGACCTAAAATTTCAATTCAATCCTAGAAGATTCGTGAAATGATCTTGGGTCAATTGTTGTTTCTCTGACCATTGCATACTTCATAAGGCTGTATAGGTAAAATGGAATATCTCCCTCTCTCCCCCACCCCCCATCTGGTATGTACATTCTTTTTCGTTTCTTTTCTTGTATTTTATTTGATTGTTAAATATACAAGTTTTATGTAGTAAATAATCAAGTGATTATATAAGAAATAAGAAATACAATCAACCACCAATAATCACAACAAACGGACTCTTTTGGACAAAGAGTCTTTATAAAGGGCCCTTTTTAATTCTATATATTATTAGTTTTGTTTTTATTGTAATTTTATAGATCTTGATACATTGCATTATTTCAATGAATATTTTAGTGCAATTATATATATGTAATATACATAAATTATGAACATTAGATTATTTAGGAAGTTTAAAGTATTGAAAATAAGGAAAATATTATTTAGCAATACCAATAGCACTTAGACTTATATACCGCTTCACAGGGCTTTACAGCCCTCTCTAAGCTGTTTACAGAGTCAGCATATTGCCCCCCCAACAATCTGGGTTCTTGTTCCTTGTAAAAGAAGCAGCTACAGAAACAAGAATTGGACTTTAGTATCTTACTTGGTTTGTATGCAGACTTTTCCCATGGAAGGAGTAGCAGCATTGAACTAATGATTAAATATTGTTAGGGTGGGGAAGAGAAAAAGAGAGAGAAGAATTGAAATGGGAATGAAGGTACTATTCCTTCTCTTGTTCTTTAATAATTTGGAATGGGTTTTTTTTTGGTATAGTTGAATTATTCCTTTTTTAAAGTTTTATTGGATTTTTATTTTTAAATATACATCAATATCAATGCATGAACAGTGTGGCCTCTGGGTATAATTCATTTTGATACAAACAGCAATAATAATAGTTGTTACATTAATCAAACTTATATAATCCTAGTATTGATATACATGATTATTTTAGACTAGTTATTTAATATTTCAATATTCCATTTTAAATCCAATGATATTATTAAACATACATAGTAATACCACCTTTCAACTCTAATCTTTCCATCTAATTAGTACTTATATTCTATTATATAAAATTATATCTGCTAATATTCTACCTATTTCTTATTTCTACCTCTATTCTAACTTGTAGTCAGGCCACCATTACTAATCCTAGTGTTAATACACATGTTTATATTAAGACATAGTCCTTCATTATTTAGTTGTTCAAAGTGACAATACTCCATTCAAGTACCAGTCATCCTATTATTTAAACATACCTAATAATACCATCTTCAACCTCCAATCTTTCTATCTAGTTATTGCTTTATATAAAGGTGGGTTATTTCTACCTCTATTCTACTTTTTAATCAGACCATCATTATATTAGAAAAAAGGGAAAAAACCATAATAATAATTATTTTCTATCCAACATCTCTCAATAATTTTAATACCACAATTCTTATTTGTTTTTTTGGCTTGCCTCCTATACTTCTCTTTTGGATCTTTGTCTCTATCAGCATCTGTGTCTTCACTATTCAATCTGAATATTTCTCCCATCTCTATCCTCCTAAGCTGCCAGGTATCCAGCCTGTCCATCCAAACCCCTATCTCCCTTTCAAAAATATCTTCCAGGTTATCCAATTCCATTTTTAAGTCTCTTAAAGTACTTTTCCCTTGCTTTATAAGACATTATTATCTTTATCATCTTCCCCTTCTCATCTTCTTGCTTTGTTTACTGGTTTGTCTGTTCTACCTTTTCCTCCATTCTTTCTACTGTCTCCTCTCTTTCCTGGACTCTTTGATCTTCATTCATTATCAGTTGTAGCATATTTTCTATTTCCCCATTTATACCTTGCATTAGGTTTTTTAACTCTCTGTGATTCTTTGTTATAATACCCCTAATGCTTTGAAACATCAATGCCATTTCTCTTGAAATCTCACTCATTTCCCCCTGATGGAGCATCTTGTCTTATTTTAATAAGTCCCGCTTTTACTCAAGTCCAAAAACAATATATTCAAGTCCAATATTGTTCTTCAGAAAGTTCAATAGTCATAGATTTTTACATCTCAGGATTAAGAATCAGTTCCGTTTAAGTAGTCTAGACAGCTTTCATAAATCAAAAGTCATTTTAGTTTACTTAAGAGTCTTCCTTATTCTCACAATAGAGTCTCCAGAAATCATAAAGTAGATAGTTATAGAACAGTTATGAAAATTTTTCCTAGACTTGTAGGAGTATGGTATACTTTCCATTCACCAGTAGATGGTGCCCTCAGCTTAGGTTTCAGTGTTGTTTCAAGACTGATAAATTGATTAATCCAAGCTTAGTTCAATTTATCAATTTAGAAGCAAAGTCGGCTAACCAAATAGATTCAAGTAATAGTTCCAGCATTTCATAATGTCTTTCCAAAACAATGCATACCCAGTTTAAAAATCTAATTTTCTATGTTTAGCTTTCTCCCCTTAATTCCTTTCTTTCGGGGCTAGGATTATTCTCTATATGGTTGATCGCTGCTTTAAGGAATAGTTCTAAGAGTATCTTTTCCTGGATTTTCCTTTTTTTTCCTTTTAAGGTTAGGGTCTAAATAAAAAAGGAATCTTCTCACCCAGCTCCAGTCACTGTTCATCTACACATTCCTTTGTTACCTCAGCTGTCCCAGCTTCGTGGCAGCCATGATGGCTACCTCTTCTCCTCATCATGGGTGAGAGGAAGAAGTCCTGGTTCCAGTAGGAGAGTTGCTGCTCTCCATGACCTTCAGGGGTCCCTTCTTCACCACCCCTACTGGGTGGCTTTAGCTCCTTTAGGAGCCCTCCAACAGGGAGAACTCAGCGTGGGAACATGGAGACCTGCTCCTCACATCCGATCTTGCTGCAGCATCAGCCAGAAGTTTGGTATAGTTGAATTCTTATTCCAGTGACTTTCATAATTTAGTAATGGACCATCTGCATTCCTTGTCTTAAAACATTTTTAATTCTCTTGACACTAGAAGAGAAGGATAAAGCAAAGATTCTAGTGGTTGATTTTCAGTGTTTTGTGTCAAACTTCACACCCAGGCTAGGAAATAAACCCAGACACTTTGTCCTAAATTCAGCTTTTGGCCAGACTTGGCAGGAGACTTCCAGGCACTCCTTGGCTCAACATTTTTATTGCAGACAAAAAGAAGGCCTCAGATACAATGATTCATTGATCATGACAGTGCAATAAGGAAGGAAGGAAGGAAGGAAAGAAGGAAAGGAAAGAGAGAGGAAGGAAGGAAGGAAAGAAGGAAAGAAGGACATGTTTTGTAGTAAATTTAAATTCTGGCTTTTTCTTTTTATCCTTCTGAATAAACAGATATGGTATTTAGCTACTTTTTTTGGTGGCCCTAAAAGGCAGCTTAAGATATTTTTACTTGATGTCTCTTTCTAGTCTTCTACTTCGTACGGCTTTAGCTCTCACATTGTGGACCACTTTCAGGAACTCCTTAACATTGATGGAAATTGAAAAGAAAATTACATCCAAAAAGCAAAATATATAAAGATAATATTTAATTAATATATCTTATTCAGGATACAGAATTCACTTGTTTTTGACTAAATGGTTTACTAATTGTACTTGTATTTCTTAATATGGCTTTTTAAAAAATCCTGGTCTATGGCTTAGGAATTAATATTGCTAGATGATCTCTACCAAAAAAGGTTTGTTGAATATTCTACATTCTTGGTATTGTGATTTTTTAATAGAATTACTAGTGAATTAGGATCCTCCCACAGGGATTCAAGTTCTCACATAATGGCTTAAAATGGTGATATATGCTTAATCCCATCCTTCTCGTGCTAAATCAGGAGGTCTGAGGGAGAATTTCTGCTCATATCATTTGAATACAGTTAAAAACCAGTGCAGTCAAAAAGAATGCTTACTTGGAGGAGAAAAAATCAAAACAATATGTGACAGCAATGATGCTGCAACTATTTCCCTTATTCATAATAACATTCTTAATAGCTTTTTCTTTGAGATTCAGGAAAGCTAGAATGATTTCACAAAATGATTTTGTAAAGCCAATCTCAAATACATCTCCAATATGAGTTGCTGTAGCAATGAGTTAAATTAATAAATGCACAAAGTAATCTAATCAAAAATTTAGCCACTTTGACTTTTTTTCTATGGAGTTAATATGTTTACAGTGATATTGGGACAATCTTGGAGTAAAAGATGCTAAATTCTTCACTGTGGGGCATTTTAAAATATTTGGATGGGGGATAAGTAGAATAAATATTGGATAAGTAGAATAGATATTTTGGATGAGAGACTTAAGACATCCATTGGCAATTAATATCTCTCCCGATAGGAAAAAAATAATCAAAAGTTTTTGGGACTGGGTGGGTAGTTTTTTAAATGGATTTTAACGTCTGCTACTATACCTAGTTTTGCCTGATAATTTTTCCCAAAAATATTAGTTGAAAATATATTATATAAATGTTTTGTTGCAGCAATGGGGATAGTTAGCTATTAATTACTATGAAGTAATTAATATTCATCCATTTTTCTCCTCTAGTAAATAGATTTTGCAAGTACACACAATTGTGTAGATGGAAACTTTCTCAAGACATCTTCAGCACTTTTCTATGTGAAAATAGCTGCAGCTTGAACATTTTTTTCACTGTAAAATGGGTTCTTCTGCATTTCATTTCTGAAATGACACCTGTATCCGGCTTCAAATTCAATATGAATTGCTGCCATTTTTGCTGAATGTTCTTCCTAATTCAGGAGGACCATCCAGGTTTGCTTTGTTTTACTACAGCAACCCACACAGTTATCTGCTGATTAGCAAGCTGTCTGAACACATCTGACTCAGGAGCCAAACAGAAATAACAGATTTTCCTGAGTTTAATATGGAGCAGAAATGGTATACAGGTCTAAAATGCAGGGAATGTACAATTGCCTGTCTCCAGCCTTTGAAACTGGCGGTCACAGATTTAGATAATTAGTGGCTGCTGAATGTGATTTTTGCTCATTTGTTTCCTATCTTTTCTCTCTCTAAACCAGCTGCAAAAAAGCAAGGAAAGGGAAGAACAGATGGAGGAGATGATCCAGGCCTATGAGAAGCTGTGTGTGGAGAAAACGGACCTTGAGTCAGAGCTGGGCCAAATGGTGGGTTTCAACTACTTTCCTGGTCATGCATTCCCCCCCCCCCCCAATATACTTGATGCTGTGATTTGTTAGACTGAGAAAATAACCATGTTTGCAGCTAAAATACTATTTCACTGGGTAAAGACATGCCAGCTAAGGGTATCTGCAAGAGATGACATTGTTATCAAAATACTAAAGATGGTAGCCACTAACATATGATTGAATCTCCCCCTTTTTATGAATATCTCACTTGTAAAACAGGGGGGAGGGCTTCAGTTGCACGATCATGACTATCCCCTTGGCCTTTCCTATACCCTCACTCTACCCCACTCACCAATATGCTGGTTAACAGGCCATTTTGTTATGTGGAATACAGCAAAAATTATAATCAAGAAAATGGATGGAGACAGGACTAGAACCTATTCATAGATTTAATTAAAGCTCCTTGAAAATAATTTAATACACTGAACATGATTAATGTTATTTTTTATTTTATTTGTATTTATATTAGTTTACAAATAACTCAGAGCAGTGAACCTATCCACAGATCCTCCTCCTGTGTTCCCCACAACTAGCCTGTGAAGTGGCGTGCACTGAGAGAGAGTAATTGGACCAAGATATCCAACTGACTTTCATGGATAAGATAGGACTAGAACTCACAGTCATGTTTTCTAGTCATGTTTTCTACTGCTTTAACCACTTGTCTAAACTGGCATCGTACTGTATTTAATAGAATCACTAATATTTTTATATGCATTGTTTTAATTTTTAAATTTCTACCCTGCTGAAATCCAGAGACTTGGTGATTTACAGAGATTATGATAGAGTCAAACTCTTCCAACTCTTTTATAGAACAGTTATTCCTCCTCCAAGATCTGTCCTTAGATATTTCTATCACATTTTATATCCTTCAGGTAGGAGACTATTTATTTTGATCAAAATTGGGTACTAAATGTTAGGGCAACAACCAGTAGATCTATATGCTTCCCATATGAAATCCAATTTTGTTTCTATTAAGACTTGGTTAACATCCATTTCACATGTGCTATTAAAATGCCCACTGTATACCCAGGGACAATGAAGTTTAATACTTCCAATTGTTAAAAACACAATAATTGCTATTGTGATCAGGAAGTTATTACCCTTCTCCTTGGTGACCATTCTTCTAAGAAGAATATAAAACTCTTATTTATAGCTGTAGCTGTTAGAAGCCATCTGGTTCCTCCCTCATGCTATTAATTGTTAGCTGGACTAATTGTGTTAGGATTTTCTCACATTTTTTATAGTTATTGATTACTTGTCTTTTATTGTGTTTGGTCTTGGACTTTAAATAAATTTTGATTCATTCAGATTATAAAAGCCATGTTAAACAAACAGCAATAAGAACAGTAAAACAGTATGAGCCAAACATAGAACTAATGACAGTTTTATTGTTTTAACTTCTATCACATTAAAAAAAAATTACACAGCTAGTCCTTGTTTAACAACTACTCAATCAGGGATTTTGAAGTTACAATAGTGCTGAATGAGTGGTATTTATGACTGATCCTAGAAGTTCCAGCCATTCAAGCATCCCAGCACAGTCACATGATATCAATCTTGGCAACTGGTTTGATTTATGATGGTTGCAATGTCATAAGGTTAGGTCATTGCCATTTGCAATCTGTTCTGCTGGCTTCCCAAAGCAAAGTCAATAGGGAACAAGGAAGGTCGCAAGTTGCTTTTGGTAGGTTTTTTACTCTCTCCCCCTCCCTGCAACAGCCATCGTTGGCCTCACCATGATAGTGCTTTATCTCTTCAGCCACTCCTCATGTACCCTTTCCAGCAGCTACCCGCAGGTCCAACCATGCTTGTGATCATCTTGCTTGGACTTGGCAGAAGATACTTATTTGCCTCCTGGCCTTCTTGCAAGCCACCTGATGCTTGTTCAACAATTTTGCAATCCCCATTTAACAACAGCAACAGGGAGTGCTGAGACTGCTGTTGCTAATTGTCAGGTCATGTTGCTCTTTACAAGTGCATCATTTAGTAGAGGAAATCCCAATTCCAATTGCTGGGTTAATCAAGGTCTACCAGTAATTTTCTGGCAACTTTAGGAGGGCTCTGCAGTTACCACTGAAAATTTCAGAAGTCCCATTAGATTTTGCTGCCACAAACTGCAACTCTGCCTCAGATGGCAGAGGTACTGTATTTCTAAGATTTTTTGCTTCATTTCCAAAATAGCTTGGATGTCCATAAGCATTACGCATCTTAATTGAGGTGAATAAGGAATGCCATTTGATTCCCTGACTTTTGCCAAAAAGCCCCCATAAAGCCTTTCTGAATCACGCAGAGGCAATTTGCCTCATTCAGTGGGGTTGGTTTTGAATGGCAGAATTAGAACTCCTCATGAGTTCAGTGACTAATGGATTTAATGGTATATATTTTCTTTTATTCCCCACCCACGATAATCTGCTTTACTAATTATAAAAAGCTATAAGATTATTATTTAGCCAGTCAGAACTGTGTTGGCAAAGCTTGATCCCTTTTGCTCCCCCTTGAAGTGTGCATTAGGACATAACTTAATATAGAACTTGCAATTCTTGTTATCCAGTCTTATAAGCATCATAATCATTTGTCTTAAGTATGCTTTGAAGAAAAATACAATTTTACTTGGTGAGTCAAACTAAAGAGCCCTATTATTCAACATTTCATACTTAACAGCAGAAGTGATTTTGAGGCAGAAATCCAGGGTGTTACATAGCAGAACAAATTCATCAGGGCCATATTTTGAATTCAGGGAACTAATTTGAGTCTTTTAGAGTTACAAATCCAAAGCAAAGTCAACCAAAAGACATCCTACTGCTTGAAGGAAAGGGCAACATACAAAGCAATGGTGGTATTCAGCTGGTTTGCACCAGTTTGCACTGGTTCGCATGAACCGGTAGCAAGGATTTGGCATGGGTCGCCAAACCGGTAGTAACTTCTGACTCACCACGCCTCCGACCCAGTCTCCCCTCCCCTCCCCTCCCCGCCCAGTCAGTCCTTATTGCGCATGGGCAACATCGCGTGCATGCCTGACATCGCTGACCGCGTTATTCCCTGCCGAGTCACTCCTTAAGGTGTTTCTTTTTTTTCTCCTCCCGACAATCAGCTCTTCCGATGATCAGCTGTGTCGGGATTCCCCTTGCTGTCTTACTGCTTCGCCTAAGAAGCTTCCCTGAGGCCCAGAAAGGCAAAAAATGTCTCCCACCCCACTTTTTGCCTTCCTGGGAGCAAAAATGCCTCCCTAGGAGGCTTCCCTGAGGCCCAGAAGGCCCCAAAATAGAGTGTCTGGGTGGGGAGCTGCGTGCCCCCCTTATGCTGAGTCTTTTTTCCTTCCTGAGCCCCAGGGAAACTTTCTGGGAGAAAAAACGCCCCTCCCCCAGGAGGCTTCCCTGAGGCCCAGAGGCCCCAAAATGGAGCACAGGGAAGTGCTGCATGCCCCCCAACTCAGTTTTTTTTCCTTCCTGAGTCCCAGGGAAGCCTTCTTCGAACAAGCCTTCTTCTCAGGCAAGCCTTCTGCCCCTTCCCCCAGGAGGCTTGCCTGAGGCCCAGAAGGCCCCAAAAATGAAGGGTGTGGTTCTGTAAAACACAGAAAAACCACATCCACCCAGTAACATAGCCATGCCCACAGAACCAGTAGTAAAAAAAATGTGAATCCCACCACTGATACAAAGGACATACAATGCTAGCAAGGAGATGGGGTTCTTCACTATTTCTGAGAGTTCAGCTCCGCTGTGCATGCGTGCGTGGGCCTCCCACCAGCCAGGTCATCTTTGGGGCTCTGTCACACATGAGCAGCGGGCAGGGCATGTGTGGGGTTGCATGTGCATGTGTGGGGACAGGACGCACCTAGGGGCATGCACACATGTGCAGGGAGAGAGGCACATGTGCGGGGTGCATGTGCACATTGCATTTTGGGGAAGTGCGCGCACTTTGGGCACTTGGTGCCGAAAAGGTTAGCCATGAATCTCGTCTATATCATGGGAGTCAAAGAAAGCTGGTTTCCGATAGATTCATCTTTTGAGCGCCAGTCATGATTTTCTTTTAGCATGTTAATGGATCTTGATGGCTTTTCTATTCAAGCCAGAGAATGAAGTTCAATACTACTTCATTGATGCCAACTGTGAAAACCTGCACTATATTAGATGCATGCGCGTGCACACCTGTCCCCACAGAGAATTTAAGGAATGATAAACATAAGTAAACATCCACATTCATTATTTCCAAAACATATTTTATAGATGGATGTCATGACTTAGGAATTTGTTTATACAACTAAATAAAAGACCATTCATTATGAATATTTAATTAAAAGGTTCCTCAAGATTATTGGCTGCTGTATAAATTTACATCCTTTGCTAATTCCCATATTTTAAATTCCATTGATGTAGTTAAGCTTTGCAGTGTTTTCTTGTATTAAAATTGGCACCTCATAACAACGTTGGATTAATTTCTTGTGTTATACCATTTTATACTTCCTAGAAAAGATGAAAAATTAATCAGATCAAATCAAATTAATTATTAAATGTATTATATAATTTTTCCATTTTATTTGAAAATCTTCCAACCCAAATGTATAACTGTACAGGCTTTTTCACCAGAAATGGCTGTACATAATGATTAGATTATACTCCTTCAGCATGATGAGAGTAAGTACTATAATACAATTTTATGAGAAAATAGTAGTATAAAGAATAGTAATATCAGGGAGAAATGATATTGCTTTGCAGGCTGAATATCTAGCAGTAGCTCATTAAACCTCATTTGAGATCTGAATAATATGTGTTATTCTTAAATTGAAGTAACAATAAAATTAGTATAGTTTTTTATTATTATCATTAAAGTTTGGTGTAGTAGTAAAAGTGCTGACTAGTAACAGGACACGGAGTCGTAACCCACCCTCAGGCATGGAAGCTGGCTGGTTGACTGGAGCCATCATTCTCTCTCAGCCCAATTCAACTTACAGGGTTGTTGTTGTGAGGAAAATAGGAGGCAGGAGTATTATGTATTTTCACTTCACCTTGAGTTACATATAAAAAAGGCATAAAATAATAATAATTCTAATATTTCAGGTTGCTATACCTAAATCTGTTTTCTATGCTTTGCCTGAGTCTTTAAAAACTAATTTATATAAATAAAGGTTTCCTTGCCACGTAGATGTCAATTAATTAACATGAATTGGAAACATTGAAACAGGAATACAAATTAAGGAAGAATTCTAATTGCAGTTTTTCTATTCAGTAATGACAAGGAAAAATGTTTCCCTGACTTAAGTCAGGAATCTGAGTTGGTTGCTTTTCTTAGAATGATGAAAGGAGCAGTATGACACAAGCTCTAACTCTTTTAAATGTAGCATGCAATGTCACAGTACTCGTACAAAATAGGATCAGTTTGTATCATTCCTTTCATTATTTTGTTCCCCTATTTGACCCTGCAGATGCCACTGATCAAATACAAAGTGTTCAGCCAAAATGTTCAGTGTTCCATGTGACTATAGAGAAAAGAAGAATGATGTAGTGCTTTATAATTGCACTGCTTAGCAATGGCATTCCCAGTCCTAATTGCCATTGTAACTTGCAGATAATCTCTATTTTATTTCCAACAATGTTTGGAGAAATATCGTACACATTTGACTTCATCAGATGTGGGAAGATATCCAGGCAGAGCAAAGCAAATAGCAATAGCACTTAGACTTAAATACTGCTTCACATTGCTTTACATTCCTCTCTAAGCAGTTTACAGAGTCAGCATATTGCCCCCAACAATCTGGATCCTCATTTTACCGACCTCAGAAGGATGGAAGGCTGAGTTAACCTTGACTGATGAGAATTGACCTGCCAAACTGCTGGCAGCCAGTAGTCAGCAGAATTAGCTTGCAATACTGCATTCTAACCACTGCGCCACCATTGGCTCTTGGAAATAAAATGGGATTTATTATGTTTTGCATAACACATTAACAACATATAATATGCCTTTAATTTAATTTTATTCTATTTCTTTTAGGAATAAATCCAGATTGATTAGGAAACATTTATTTATAAGCATATTTAGCTTATACGTTAATGTGGTGAACTTTTTTTCATCTTGATTTAGCAATGTAATAGGCTTTTTATTGACCTTCTGTGGAGATCTTTATTTGGTTAAAGAATAAGAAAACACTCCTACTTTAGTTCCACAAGATAGGAAAATATGTGTAACTTTTTACATAAATAATATTTATTTTGTATTCACTCATTTTTAAAACTTTTAAACAGTTCAAAGCAGCTTACCATTTTAAAAATGTGCTATTTCAACTTCTCTTAATTGAATAAATAAATTTCTATTATCATCAACTAATTTAGTGAGATTAGAGTTTATCTACAATCTGTAAACTTAATATTTTCAGAATTAATAGAAAAAAATGCTATAATTATCTTGCATGTCCTTTGGTTTACTTAATGGAACTCAGTTTTTCTTCCTATCTACCAGCTATTTACCACTATCAATAGAGTAGGGAAGAGTAGAGTAGCGTAGAGTAGAGGTAGAGCAGAGCAGAGCAGAGCAAAGGAAAGCAAAGCAGAATAGAACAGAATAGAATAGACCTTGGACGTCTTCTAGCCCAGTGGTCACCAGCCGATGGGCCGCGGTGGTCTGCAAGAAAATTTTGGTAGTCTGCAGAGAAATGTCACACACAGAGCACCCCCAAAACAATCCAGACTGCGAGGGAACACAAGGCTGCACCACCCACATGGCCCCTGGGAACCCTCCCTGCCCACTCACTCCTTACCTAGCAAACTTGCCTGCTAAGTTGCTATTTTTCCTTTATTTTATCCTGATCATCAGCTGTTCTGCTGTGCAGGGAGATTTAGATTAGCTAGAAAGCAGGAAACCGTTGGATTTCTTGCTTTCTAGTTAACCTTTAGATCTCGGGCTCTGCTTTTAACTGACAGACTTAGGTAGCTGATGGCAGAATCACAGATCTCTGAATGAATCTGTGATTCTGTGAGCAACTCAATCTGCCTGCCTGCTTTGCCTGACTTTGGGTAAAAGTTGCTCCTTTTTTAATAAAAAATTAAATATTTACATAAATATTTATAATATTTACATACAAGCTATGGCCAGCTAGTCACATGATCACCAATCCACACCTACAAATTAGGCCATGCCCACAGAACCGGTTGTTAAGAAATTTGAATCCCACCCCTGCCTCTGTGTGTGTGTATATGTGCGAGAGAGAGTGGGGGGAGGGAGAGAGAGGTTAGATCATCTCTCTCTCTCTCTCTCTCTCTCTCTCTCCCTCTCTCCCTCTCCCCCCACCCCCCACCACCAACGCCAGCAAGCCACTGTCAGTCAAAAATCATATTAGTGGTCCCCGGGATTTAAAATTATGAGTTTGGTGGTTCCTGAGGTCCAAAGATTGGCAACCCCTGTTCTAGTCCAACCCGCTGCTCAGCCAAGAAGCCCTATACTATTTCAGACAAATGGTTGTCCAATCTCTTCTTAAAAACCCTTGGTGTTGTTGGAGCACCTACAACTTCTGGAGTCAAGTCATTCCACTGATTAATTGTTCTGTCAGAAAATTTCTCCTTAGTTCTAGATTGTTTTTCCCTTTGATTATTTCCTTCCATTGCTTCTTGTCTTGCCTTCAGGTGATTTGGAGAAAGGTTGACCCCCTCTTCTTTGTGACAGCTGCTTACATATTGAAACACTGCTATCATGTTACCTCTAATCCTTCTTTTCATTCAGCTAGACATACTCAAATCCTGCAACCTTTCTTCATGTGTTCTTCATTCAATTGTATTATGTCCTTGGAGGAATTTTACAATCCTTTAGCAATGTTGTCTTTGAGCCAAACATTATGTAATAATGAGATATTTAATCTCCATTTAAAAGGAAGCAAAATTGAGATCATGGATTGAAAAGACTTAATACAATTGGAACATTATCAGAAATGGCTATTGTTTTAGCTATACTCTTGCTTAATATATGAGCCCTAAATGAAATTAAGATGCTATTGTTGAGTAGATTTGATTTTTAGCTGAGTGCAACATAAAATCTTTAATTGAGAGTTGTTAATTACTGTGTGCCAGAGAAAGGAAGGATATTTTGATTCCCCAAATGAATAAATGCCTGCAAAGTTGATGGAGTTAGCAGAGATGACTAAATTGACTAATTAAAAGAAGAAAAGAACTGTTTCTTCTTGGAAACCACAACTGGACTTTGTGCTTGAGATTAAATAAAAATGAAATGAAATTTAGATAAGTTTGTTGTTATAGAAATGGTTAGTATATATTATGTATAAGTAAAAAGTTGAGATCATATGTTTAAGAATACCTTATTCTATTGTGCTAAAAAGAGTCGGAAATCAATACTTTACTCTTTCTTTCTCCCTTTTCCCTACAGCTTTTCCTCTTTCCCTACCTTTCCCTTATTTTCCATTATTTTTATTTTTTTTCTTTGTATTTCTGTATTTTATATTCTGATGAATTCATAAATAATTGAAACCAAAAAGATAAAACTAAATGAAGGACAAGTTGATCGGGATCAGAGTGAACTCAGAATGAAGACTTCAGAGCAGAAGAGTGGGGTTTGGCCTTAGATTGGAGGCGAGGCGAAATGGAGGAGAGTGTCTTTGGATTTGGAGGCTTCTTTGCTTACTGGATTAACTATCCTTTCTATCACAACATCTATTTCTATCTTGGTCTTTCTGCAGAGAGCACTTGTTGATACACATTTGAACCGCATTCGGAACCTGGAACAGCAGTTAAGGCAGAGAGATGGCAGCACTTTCCAAAATCTCAACTCTCAACTTCAAAATCAAGAAATTCAGTTCCGATCACTTCATGGCACTCATGGTGATTTTTAAAAAAATTTCTAGTCCAGAGAACAAGGTATTGACTATTAGGTTTGAAACCAGCTATACTCAATTGATTCCCTCCAAAGTTTGGAACTACAAATCCCAGAGTTAGATACTCTGGGTAGACATATTGGGAAACGTGGCTGCAGAACATCTGAAGGTACTTGTTTGGAGAATGCTGCATGTACCAAAATGTGGCACTGCAATTTGGGAAAATCAATTTTGGAACCAACAGTGCAGGGTTAAAAGGATTGCAGATGGTTGAGATGCATCAATTGTAAGCAGTAATAATAGTTCATGAAAAACAGCTGAATGTCTAAAGGGTCAGTGAAAGGAGATGTGATGAGAAATAGGTCAGTGGTCAGATTTCAGACAGGCAGAAGATGAAGTCAGATAGTTGTTTTCAACCTGTGAGGTCAGCTGACTACTCAGAGGCTAGACCTAGAGACTTTAGGAAAACCTTAACCTTGAAAAATTTTGCCTCCCAGTAGTACATTGATTCATCAACATTTATTTGTTCATTTATGCATAAATAGAAGTAAAATATATAATCAATTATAATATTAATATCTTCATTTTTTATTGTGCAACAATCTCGACATTTAAAATAAAAAAGAATTAAAAATACTGCATTAAAAACAATAATAGTTGAAGTATTATCCAGTAAGAATTTGTAATATACCCTGTTTCCCTAAAAATAGACTTACCCCCAAAGTAAGCCCTAGCTTGATTTTTACACGGGGCCCCAATATAAGTCCTACCCCCCAAATAAGCCCTAATTAAGACCCCACTCACTCCAGAGTGCACAGGTAAAAATTAAGCTAGGGTGGGGATGGGGAGGGGTGGAACTGCCCTACTATTTACCTTTGGACAGTTGTAGCCAGGCCTCGCACACTCTGACACCTGCCTTGCCATCCCATTTCTTCTGCAGCCGGCAAGTCTGGCAAGGCTTTCCTGAAGGCCTCTATAGCTGATAAAAAGGTCCTGATCAATCTGGAGCTCTGTTATCAGCTACAGAGGCCTTCAGGAAAGCCTTGTCAGATGCAGAAGAAGTCCCTGAAGGCCTCTAGCCTGGGGCGATGCGCATGTGAGGTTAGTCAGTGAATAACATCCCCTAAAAATAAGACCTGGTACCTTTTTTTGGTGGCAAAAAATTATAAGACAGGGTCTTATTTTTGGGAAAGCATGGTAATATACAGACATACAACACAGGTTAATTTGCCAGTGTAGTATAGCATTAATGTCCAGTTGAAAATGTACAGCAGTGCCAATTATTCAAATGGTGTTGTGAATAAATACACTGAATTGTATATATAATGAATGTATGAAAATTGACCTAAACATGATTAATATATCATGTAATCAATTGAAACTATTTCAAATTTCTAACCGTTCTACATTTCCAAAAGATTATTTTAAGTTTTATACCAAGTTTATCCAAAGAGCTGTGTTGAATTTAAACTATACCTCAGAACTATCCTAGGAGGCTAAAACAAGATTGACTGTAGGATAATATGATATTTGTGAAATATTTTAAGTTCCATGAAACTTGGTATATCAGAAATGTGGAATTTGTGGGCATTCCAGAAAATGCTGAACTATAACTCCCATTGTGCCTCATAGTCCACCACGTTATGTGGAACTCGTGGGGATTAAAATATTTTTATTTCTCCAGCCTAGGCTGTGTAAATGCTAAAAATAATTATTAATATTAGTATTTGGCAGATATAGCCATTACTTTACGTTAAAACACAGAAAAAATATCCATTCATCCATCCTAAATATTTGAAAGAGGTGTTATATGCAAATAGAAAAAATGTTTCAGATTGAAGAGGAATTGTGAAACACAATCATGACTCCTATATGAATATTTCCTCAACCGTATTCAGTAATTATAGTTGTCAGTCCAGTCCCTGATGTTAATCCAGTCCCTGATACCACTTTTCTTCCTGATTATCAGTATAAAGCATTCTTCATCTGGGATCCTGTGAGGATGAAACATGGCCTGTACCTGCTAGAGATCCATAATTAAGTTTTTAGAGGCTTGGAAAAATGAAGCAAACACATTGATAATTAAGAAAATATGTCAGGCTGGCATACTTCAATCTGTTTCCCATGTGTAAATGGAGATTATTCACATTATGGCATTAATATTTGTCAGCCAGTAGATGGTGCTATGATTCCCTGAATCTTAGGTGTGCAGACTAGTCCATTTCCAAAATATTGCCTTCCCTTTGACCTTTACTTGCATTGAATTCCTAGAAGAAGCATAAGGAATACAGAAACAGGATAAAATGGTTCATTAGTGGATCTTTTTCACAGACCAATTTTCTGGATAATTTTACCTATTATCTACTCACTTTTTGGAGCAGCAGTCCTTCATTTTCATAGAGGGCAGCTGTTCATCTCTGAGAAGATCTAAAATGCTTGTTGATCCTGACAGTATAGACTCTAGAGCTATCAGAACGAAGGCTTAGTTTCTCAATTTTTAAGTGCTGGCTTACAAACAGAACTTAATAATTGCACAGTCGATCCCTATAATCGAGTTAGCTGATCTTTTTCAGACCAAAGACAGTAATTGGTTTTTGAGATGTATGCTGTAAGCATGCCCACCACTTGTAGGGCCAGGATAAAAATTAAAGATCTTTAAATTAAATTCAAATAAAAATAAATTATCCCATGAATTTATAGTTTAGAATGGGCTCTGGAAGCTGTATGTAAAGCTTTGGGGCCTGAGATCTGTTTTAGTGAGAATACAGTCATAAGTGTAGCTAAAGCATCTTTTAAAGACATGGAAAAGCAAACTTGAAAGATCGTTTGGGTATAATAGGTCTCACTTTAGGATTCGCCATCTCTCACTTTTTTTCTTTCTTTGGTTCCAGCACCTAGCAGCGCCACACTTTTAATTTTCCATAATTGTTCTGTTTTGGCATTGTCTTAAACAATGCGGAAATTAACTGGATGATTAGATGCACCATCCTTGTGATACTTCAAGGGCTCCCAGCACAACCAGATAGGCTAACTGATGGAGGAGAGGCTCTAACAGGGAAAGTAAGCACTGTTGCAGGGCCCATCTCAATCTGGGAGCCAGTCCTGTCCAGAACTCTCCAAACTTGTTGCAACAGATCATGCCTCCATATCAATAATTGTTTATTCTCTGCCTTTTCTTCCCAATTTCATCTTTATAAATATTTAAAATCAGTCATTGAAACCAGTAAGATGAGTTTTCTGTTATTAATTCTGGCCTAATCCTTAGAGATTAACCACAGGTCTGTTTTCATATTTTGAAGTCTGGCCAGATTGTTGTCACATAGGGGTTATTTTTGAAAACTATTGCCCAGTATTGTTGTTACAAATTACTTGCCCTTAAAAAATAAGAATCTCATTTCTTTGCAATTCCAATTCTGAGAACCTCAACATAATAGTCCTTTATCGTTTTAAGAAGCATTTAGCCCTGCCAGTCTATCTTCCATCCTGACCGCTTTGATAATGACTTTCTCTACCTCTCCTCCCACTCTTTTTTACTCCTTCACAAATGCCCCCTCTCCCCACCCATCCATAGTACTGGATCGCTCAATGAACTGGCCGAGTTCACGGAGCCTGGAACAGGCAGAAGCCTTGGAGGTCCAAAGATTGGAAATGGAGCTTGAGAAGTCAAGGCAGGAAGTCCAGAACTGTCAGCACCGTGAAGAACAGAGGAAGGGTGAATGTGAAAGGCTGCAGGCAGAGGTGAAGCAGCTGCAGGAGACCAGGGCACAGGTATTTCTAACTGGATTTCCCTGTACTGTTTCTTAGTGCCTCTTAGTGCCAAGGGACAAACAAAATGTCTCTTGTTTGAGACATTTAATCACCTTTATAAAAAAAAGATCAAGGCAGTTTGAAATGTTATTTGTAAGAGCTCCATAGCTGAGGTCTCAAAACATGAAACATAAAACTGGTGGAAATTATGAAATAGCATATACAAGTAGTTCTCAGCTTAAAACCTTTTGTTTAGTGACCAGCTAAAGTTACAATGACATTGAAAAAGTGACTTACAACCAGCTGTCCCATGGCCATCTCAGTATCCCCACAGTCATGTGATTAAAATTTGGGCTCTTGGCAACCAGCATATATTTACAATGATCGTGGTATCCTGGGATTAGCTGGCTTCCAACAAGCAAAGTCAAATGGGGGAAGCTGGATTTGCTTAATGACTATGTGGTTCACTTAACAACTGCAGTGATTTGTTGAAAAAGTTGTAAAATTTGGTGTGACTTACTTAACAACCACTTTGCTTAGTAATGAAATTCTGGTCCCAATTGTGGTCATAAGTTGAGGACCACCTGTAATTTAGAAAGAGTTTTCTGTCTGCAGTTTTTAACAGTATAGCATTTTGGGGGATGTCCATGGTGCAGACTGTTTGGTATTGAAAATTATTTAAAATACCCTTGGAAAATCCCAGGGTTGTATTTTTCTGAAGTTTCTGTGACTTCTGGGTATGAAAATATCTCTGGGTACCATACCTCCCACCTTCAGAATTTAATGAGATAAGAGCTGATAATTGCGGCTAGGAGTGTTATATGCAAAGACACTTGCTGTCATGGAATTATCCTCATCCCTCTAATTTTAAAAAAAATGTAACAGAGAGGAGTTTTCTGTTATCTGCTATAATCCCAGAAGTTTCAATGAGGAATATCCATCCCTGGACATTTGTATTCAAGCCAATGAAACTAGACCACATTATAAAACAAACAAAAATTTCTACTTTGTGGGCATAGCCTGCCTCAGTCTTTCTCAGTCTTGGCAACTTTTAAGATATATGGCCTTCCCAGAATTCCCCGCCAGCTTTGTCTATTGACTTTTGTATCCAAACTCTTCAACTTAATGTCCCCATTCCCTGATTTTCTGAAAAAAATCTGCCTGAAGTTCTTCAGATATTTTCCACCTATTCACTTAATCTAACTCATGGATTAGTTAAAAACATTGTTTATATAAAATAAAAGTGCATTCTTTCTTTTAAAAAATGTAGGAGCTGAGCTCACGGGAAATATAACCTTCCTGTTCTGTATTTGTAATATCTTACTTGACAGCTTTAATTTTTCTAGTGTCCTGATTGGAATGAATGTTGTACAGCTAAAGCAGAAAGAAGTAGAGAAGATGCTGTAGCCTTTCCAAGCAGTGACATCAGACAGGGCAAGAAGAATCAGTCTAATACCAGCAGTACCACAACACAACCCCCATCACTTCTCTACTTTCCCCCAGAAGAGTGAAACTTGTGATGTAACATTGTTTTGTCATTCCAAGGAAAACTGTATGCCCCTGTGGATGTTGTTCACCTTTTCTTATATTGTTAAATTTATAACCGCCAGCATTCTTCAATCCTGACTATGCTTGGTTGGAAAACATAGTAGGGACAATACAGCGGACTATAGGCAAAAGCTTCAGACATGAAAGATTATGACAGTCCAGTTAAACTAATTTATTGCCAATCATGCCTATATTCCTGAATCTTTTCAAGTAACAGTTAAGGGGTTAGTTAAGGGTCAACAGACTTTAAGGAAGGTTGAACTTTGTTTGTAGCAACGTAGAGATTATATGCTAATCTCTATTTTAACTCCACCCCAGGTTCTGCCATTGTTTCTCATACAATAGCAGAATAATTATTTTAGTCAAATAAATTAAGTCTCATTTTCAGATTGTTGCACTCAATTACTGAGTTACTGATTGAAACATCTGAAAATCACTCATATTTATTGTATTTGTTAAATAAGTTTCTCTTTTCTAATACATGGGTCTTTCTTATTTTATAGTAACATAATTGGGATTTAATTGTTATTACCATAAATAGTTATCTAACTTTCTTAATAATATATTGATCAATATATCAAATAATAATAGTTGAGGGACAACCACAAAGATGAGTGAGTCAATCTATTTTCAAAGCACCAGAAAGCAAGACAAGAAACAATGGATGGAAACTAATCAAGTAAAGAAGCAACCTAGAACTAAGGAGAAATTTCTAATGGTGAGAATAATTAACCCATGGAATTCCTTGCCTTCAGAAGTTGTCTCATTACTGGAGGCTTTTAAGAAGAGATTGGACAGCCACTTGTCTGAAATGATATAGGATCTCTTCAAGCAGGGGGTCAGACTAGAAGACCTCCAAGATCCCTTGCAATTCTGTTATTCTATGTTCTATATATAATGATTCATCAGGCTAGAAATAGAGACTGTAAGTACTATTCCTCCCTTTGACATACTGTAGATCCAAGTGGGTGACTTTGGGTTAATCAGTCTTTTAATTCATGAATCACTTTTTAAAATGTTAACCAGAAAACTGCAAGGGGATGCCCAGGCAATAGCCAGGACTCAAGATTGATTCAAAAACTATTATATTTTGTATATATACAGTTGAATAATATGTAATATAGGTTTTTTTCCCAATGGAAACTTTGAAATGATAGAAGTTCCTTCCTAAGAAGGCATAACACTCCGATGAGTGTTAGGTAGCTCCTGAAAATTATTTTTCATTCTGAATTTCACTATTTCATTTTAATTTTTGTTACTTATATTAGCTTTAGTTGTGAGGATATGCTTTTTGCAATGATTTCAGACTCAAATTAGAACAAATTAGAATGAAAAAGTTTAATGGAAGCCATAGGGATAAAAATCAAATTGAAGTAGTGCAAATAAGACCTCATTTGTTCCATTTACAAAATGGAGCTTCCCTCTAGCTGTGTTCCCCTGGCTTGTTGTATTGGGGATTGTGTAACTGTGAGTATGTATTTATACAAAGTTTGCTCTAATTTTTCTTAGGATCTTGCAGCTAGTCAGTCGCAAAGGGATATGGCATGGGTGAAGAAGGTTGGAGATGACCAGTAAGTGCCACTCTTATTAGTAGATGTTTACTGGGGTGGAATTGCCTGGATATTCAAGTGCCAAAGTTTCAACTTGTGAAATCAGATGTATTGAGATTTGATTGACCAAGATAATCTTGTCCATTGTAAAGCTCCAATTCTAAGAGGTTAATAATGGTTGGTGCTTATTAAAGGAGCTGGAAGTGCCAGAGAGATTCCAAGAAGTTAGTGATGTGAATATATGTGGTGGATTCACTTAATTATTCAGGACATTTACATTTATATATTGCCTTTCTTTCTGAGAATATCTCTCCAGCATAAAAAGAAACAATTAAACAAATTCCTTGTGTGCCCGTTCACATTTGGTGAAAAAGAATTCTATTCCATTCCATTCCATTCTCTGGAGATCTATGAAGGCTTTAAGTATAATGACAGGTCTCTAAAATACCAATTCCTCAAATATTGCTCTTCAAAGTATGTGCTAGTTATCAATCAAAGCAAAGCAGCATTTAGCTGCTTTGATCCTTAAGGATGTAACTCATGCCAATATCTGGATAATTAACATACTGCAGCTAAGCAAAAATAAAAGGATTTTTAAAAATATTTTAAAGAATAAGCTGCTTATTACAGGAGACCCAAAGATGCTTTTCAAGAGGCAACTATCTGGTTTTTCGCTTCTCATCCAAGAAGCTTTTTCAGCTGTGACTAGATAGTGGGGAATGGAAGGATTAATACTCCTTGTAGACAGCTGGTCATTTGCATTTTTTTAGAGATTAATTGAAGTCGTTGAGGTTTATCTGTGTTGTCAGGGTCACCTGAGTGATGCAAATGGGTATAGAGCCGTGATGGCGAACTTATGGCACACGTGCCACAGGTGGCACACAGAGTCATTTGTGCTGACACATGAGCCCCAGCCAAACTTACCTCACTGTGCATCTGCATGCCTCCCAGCTGGGAGGCCAAAAAACAGGCTCGTTTCATCACTTCCGGTATTTCCAGAAATACAGGAAGTGACAAAATGGGCCCATTTTTCAGGCTCCAAAAGCTGCAGAGGCTTCCCTCGAGCCTCTGGGAGCCGAAAAAGGCCTCAACAGACCAAAAATCAGCTGGGAGGCACACGCATGTCCAGTGCAGGTAAGGGCAGGGGGGATCGCGCACGTATGTGCAGGGGGCAGGCCCCTCCCATATGCATTGCCTTCTGGGTGCTGTGCACGCATGCAATTTTCAGCATAGGAGCCCAAAAAGGTTAGCCATCACTGGTATAGAGCCTTCTTGGAACTGTTGAAATGACTGTTTTGTAGACTGGAAGTAGATTATGTCACAGCCCTCCCCTTGGTTGAGAGAGGACTTTTCAATTTTGACAAAGATGGCCTCTTTGACCCCTCTTTCAAATCACTCAGGTGACCCCGATGACACGGATAAACCTCCAGATGGTCATAATGATTCACTAAAATAATACAGATTACCAGCTGTCTGCAAGGAGTATAAATCCTTCCAGTCAGAGCTGAAGCAGCTTCTTGGATGAGAAGCGAAACGTCTTCAAAGAAAAAACAAAATCCAGTTGCCTCTTGAAAAAGCATCTTTGGAACAACCATGACCTGGATGACTGAGAATTTCCATAGACATATTACAGGGGAAGTCCAGAGATTCTTATTTATACTATATGGGATAATTAATTCAACCAAAAATGCTGTAATGGTTTTGTAAACAAAGAGCTGTGAAAGTTTGAAATATCTATTTCTTTATAAATAGCTCTTTGAAGAATTGACAAGATTATTTCATAATGGCTTCTATATCTTTTCTGCAACAAATTTACTTATTTGAACTTTCACATCCTTGGAAATTTATTCTTTTAGTGTCTCACTCACCAGCTAGGTGAAGCAATCTAACTGTATATTAGATAAATTTTATAATGCCTAAGCAGAACAATGATGGGTACAAATCTTAACTTTAAAAAAGTTGTATCTGAAAACGAGCAAGTAACATTTTTCCGGTATTGTCTGATATTGACTTCAATCAGTCAATCAATCTTGAGCTAAGGAATTCAAAGTCCAATTTCATAGCAAAAGAACAGATTTGAAATTCTAGGCATTTTAAGATTTAGGTAGGTTTAATGGATACCAAATCTCTTATCTTGCTCCATATGCTATTAATCAACACATCAGCAAGAATATCAGTGTCGTAATCAGCAACTGCCTTGTAAAAGGGCACAAGACAGTAATTATTTCCTGTCATTTTTCCTGTCATTTTAACAATTCCTCTTCCCGTTTATTCTATTGGTTTTATTTATGTGTCTGTTTGATTTATATTGTTGCCCATTTCACACAAATGATTCTGGTCTATTTACAAGATTAAAACAAATATATCCACCAAATAACCCTTTGCCATCCAAAGATAAACTGTTAAATCACATCACTGTCAATAGGAACAGAACTCACCTAACCCTTGACCCAAATGGCCAAAGTATCAGTGTCTTTTGTGTAAGGTTAACAGGATTGTAATAATATACCAAAGTTTTCATAAAATTGCAGCCTGTTAAAAATGTCACAATAACCGTGTTACCTTTTAAATGACCATGAAAGCCTGTGGTTTTTATTGTAGCAACAGCACATCAAGTTTTCTGGCTCTGGAAATTCATAGAATTGAAACAGCACCCTGTATTTTCCAAAACTAGATCTCCTTATGCCCTTAATTGATAAACTAACAAAGTGATTATCGCAAAAGTTTTTTGGGGGTAAGTGTTTTCTGGAAAAGCAAACAATTCCACTAAAACTTATGCTGTAAAAGTTTCTTTGCAACAGGGTGAATGGTTTTGCTATTGCAAGCCAACAATAAGCCATTTGAAAGTTTGGAGACATTCTGGGAGTGATTTCAGTTAGTTACACCATATTTCTCATTTGATACTAGTGTCTTCTAATAGTAATTTCATATAACATTGAAAAACAGATGTATGTTTAATCAGTGAAAGTCCAGCACCTCATACTGTGCTTTTTTAAAACTAGGCACACAATTCTTAAGAATAGTATTGTTTGAACGTACAAAAGAAAGGATAAAGCACAACTATAATAATGTAAAACAAGAAATAAACAAGAAACCCTCCAAAAAAAAGAATTAAAAAGTACATATTAAAATACATACAAAAATCACTATCTTTACAAATATCAGGTTAAACTTTAACCATACTAAATATTCATGAATGAAGGCAAATATATGTGGATAATGTTGCAGGATCCAATCTGGACAGGTCACCAGGACCAAAGATTTTGTCTTCCGACTTGTGCCCATCTTCAGGGAACTTCTCCTGAATATGAAATATTGTTGCTTAATTTTTTTAATTTAGTGATAATAGGACTATTAATACATGGAGAATGAAGACATAACTTCAATGCATGATTTTAAATCTGGTGTAGCAGATACTTTACATCTAAGTAAAATGATATTTTTGCTTATGCTTCATACATGATTAATCTAGAGATTTTCATGAACCAATATGTAATCAAATGTTTGGGATACAGTATACTTTGGTAAAGCACTTAATTTTCAATCATTTGTTTCTCTTAGTATATTAAGCCAAAATGGGAAAACTAAGCAACAAATTCAATACTTATGCGTCAGTGTTCCCTCTGCCATATTGCATTTTTGAACGTACTAAAGTTGATAGCCAGGCCTTTGTAAACATCTTCTGGAGTGTGCAGAAAATACCCAAAGATTATTTTTGAATTGTATTTTAATGCCACACAATTTCATAGTCTTTAAGTAGCCCATTAATTTGTTTAAAAAAAGTTTCTTGCAATTTACTTACTCTGTGTACTATACGTTATATTGTATGTGTATGTGAAAGTAATACTTATCATTTGTTTATAAAAAATAAATTATGTATCTGGAATTACCCAATGTTCTGTCTCATGGTAATAAAAATCTATGAATTTCTAATGTTGCTAATAAATCCACTCCCAATGGACTAGGGAATAAATATTTTAATTGAATGTATTGCTATTCAGCAATTTTGGACAATTCAGATTGCAACATTTGCAGAATTGTAGTCTGTGGCTATTTCCCACAGAAAGACCAATCAAATTTAAATTACTTTTCCAACCTCATACAATCATGTTTTGCAACCATTAATTCTGAAAAAATAGCTCACTGTTAGTCAAACCAGGAACCCGGCCAGGAAACTGAAGGGTTCAAACAGTATTTAATTGGAGATCATTTAAATCTCTTAATTTCCACTAGAAAACAGAGGTCAAAATATTAGCCAGTTGACAGTTGAGAATCAAGAAAAATCCCACAGAAATTGTCTCAGTATCTTATCAATGTGTTTAAATTATTTGACAAGTATTAAAATAGGATACTTCCCAAGGGTTTCTGTTAATTTGAATTAACATTCATCAGAAAGTCCAGCAAGTCTATATGGAATTATGGCTCGTCACACAATCAGCCAGATGTTCAGATTGCATTTGGCTTTTTTTTGTCTACCTATCAAGTCCTTCTCAAGGACCTGGGATAGGCAGATGTGGATTATTGTGGAATTATTAATAACAACAACAACAACAACAATTATTATTATTATTATTATTATTATTATTATTATTATTATTATTATTATTATTATTATTATT